GTTTCTCTCGCAGCCAACTCTAGCCTGAAACCACACATTCCAGGAAATGCACTTCCAGCACAGCTAAGTTAACACAGGACAAAGCCACCACAGTCCACACCATAAGGACTTGACAGTCAGTACACATCTCTCTCTCTCTCTGTCTCTGTCTCTCTGTCTCTTTCAATCATAAACACATCAACACATTTTATTTATAATGTCTAACAGTTGACAAAGTGTTTTTCTGTATATGATCACATTTGATCCCAATATACTATGACTAATAAAAATAAGATACCAGGGCTTCCCTGGTGGTGCAGTGGTTGAGAGTCTGCCTGCCGATGCAGCGGACATGGGTTCGTGCCCCGGTTTGGGAAGATCCCACATGCCGCAGAGTGGCTAGGCCCGTGAGCCATGGCCGCTGAGCCTGCGCGTCCGGAGCCTGTGCTCTGCAACGGGAGAGGCCACAGCAGTGAAGAAGCCCGTGTACCACAAAAAAACAAACAAACAAACAAACAAACAAACAAAAATACATACAAAATATATTCATATCAAAGTAAGGAAAAATATTCATAACTCCTTGCATCTTCTTTTCTGAATCTGGTTATGTGCTTATAGCTGGTATTTATAACTGACCTTCTTCCATGATTCATTTTACATTCCCTGCCCCTTAGTAAGTGCCTCAAGTGGTCATGGTTCTTTGCCTGGTGAGGTGACTCCAAACTTTAGATTCTGGATCATTGGGTTGTTGTCTTTTTCCATTTAATCACAGGACGTGGGAGTATATTATGAGGCAGCCCAGGAGATTGCCTGCATTCCCTGAGCTCCTCCTTACCCACCTTGTGTAGCACCCGATTTCCTCTTGTAAGTCAGGAGTCATCACCCCAGCTAACCCCGCTTCTTTGTCTGTTGAGTCACTGGCATGAAGAGCCCAGAGTGGCCAGGTGGCCGCCCCAACTTCCAGTTTAATGGAACCATAGTTGTGTCCCTGGCATAAGCATTTTCCTCTTGGCAACAGAGCTCAAAGTGATGGGGATGAGAAAGCAGACATTTCACTAGTGACTCACTGGGGGTAACAGTGAAAGAAGCCACTCTCATCTCTGCTGCTGGATTCCTGTCCCCATAAATCGTGCTATAGGTAAAATATATCAGTTAGTGATTTAAAGCGTATTCCACATCCTGGAGAGCATTGCCTCTGCCCTGTAAGGTGTTGCCACCCAGCTAAAGCAGTAACCAAATCTTCAAATGACTATTCCACTTGTTTTTTCCTACAAGGACAGCCCTCACTCCCCAGATCAGAAACCAGTGTGGGGGACTCTTCCAGCTTCCATGTTTATTCCAGTATACATTCTTGAAATACCTACAGGGCGGACTTGGGGACCCATTGGACCCACTGTGATCACCTCACTGCCATGAGCCCCTGCTCCACAGGGGTAGCTGGAATCTAGGAACTAATGCTAATATTAATCCCTGAAAAGCCTGATTATTTCCCTTTCCCATCACATAGTCACAAGTCCTTCCTCAAGGGGACTTGGCCTCTTCATTCCAGACGTTCTGGATCTGTGCATTGGTTCAAATCTGAGAATTGGTTGAGGGACTGGAACTCTCCATCCTAGTAACTTACGTTAGACTTCTGTTAACCATACTTAAAGCTTTTCTGCTTAACATAAGTCAAGTAAAACGATAATAGGCTGCCCCTCTATTTCTGTTTTAGGACCACCATGATCAGCTAGCCACACCAAAGATCTCTGCAGGTCAAATCATTCTGATTACTGCTTCAGCTCTGTTGCCCACAAAGTAACCATGCCCACCTTGTCACTTGTCCCCTGTCACCCAGGGATCCATCATCCCCAGTGGGTTCAGGGAGCCCAGTTTGGAGGCAGTATTTCCCATGGCCATTCCTGGCCTTTAGAGTATAGTTACTACAGAGTTCTCCAACAGTGCAGGGCTTCCCCTTCTGAATAGACTTCTTACATCCTTCGCGAAGGGAGTGTCCTCTAGGTGGTAGGCTTAGTGGATGAGGGAGCAGGTCTCATATAAGAATTCGTTCTCACGTTCTAGTCTCCCTAAGCCTTTGGAGAGCTTCCTCTACAGTGTACCAAAGAAAGATGGGCATTTCAGCTCGAGTTAGTGTAGACCATCCTGGGGTTCAGTCAGTCAGCCCAGCAGGCTTTCGGAGCTACTGCTAGCCATTAGAGCTAACACACAAGTCCAGGATCTCTACTTGGTGAGCCCATTTCAATAACTTCTACTTAATCCAGCACTTACATCTCACGCTCTAATACCCTTAAGTTCCATTTGCACATGTGTTCTCCAGATTTCTCTATATAGAGAAATGTATCTATATTTATAAATTGGAAAAAAAATCATGCAATTCTTTTGGCATGTGTGACACCTCCTCACAAGTAACAATTCCTCCCTTGTTCTTCGGGCCCTGTTTGAACTTGAGTCTGGTTATAGGTCAGCAATGGGAAGGGGGGTGGGTGCCCAGGAGAGTCAGTAGTCCCTTGCAAGGTGGCTGACAACCTCAGGGGAGGCTGTCACAAGGGGAGGCCAGCCTCCTGAGGCACGAGTGGAAGGGCCGCTTCGTTTAGAAAAGGAGACTTGGCAGGATTTAGGGGTTCAAGGTCTCCAGCTTCATCAGAATCTCTCCACGTGTCCTCGTTGGATTTTCAGTGTACCACCCCTTCCGAAGAAGAGCCCGAGGTTTCACCTAAGAGGCTGAGAGGTTGAAATTCACTTGCTGTGTAGTTTAACCACCTGTGAGTTCAGACTTTGGGTCTTGTTTTCAGAAATCTTGGTGGCCACAGGTGATAAAAGTTTCTTTTGGGTCAATCACAGGATGTTCAGGTACCTTTAGCAGAACTTGAGTGAGAATTTAAAGCCCTGAGCATATTGATTTCTTTCTCCCAAGCACAGCTGGGGGAAACCAGCCAACGCAATTCAATTCCTATTGTCACCAAAACATTCCATGGCAGCAATCACCTGGTCACCTCAAGTCTTGCCTTCTACAGTCACTTGATAACAGATGTCTACAGGTGAGAATTTAAGTAGCTGTTTACCACTGTTTGCCGTGGGCCACCAATGACCTCTTTACCACAGGAAACATGGTCATTAATACCTTTAAATCTAACCAAATTAGAGGACCCATCACAGCTAACCAGAACCAATTCAGAGAACTTATCCTTACGAGTCTGTTTCCTGGAATCACTTCTGGTACCAAGTTCTGCACCAGAGATACACTAGGCACGGCATAGAACATGGGAGTTGTCTGAGGGAACGGCAGTATGTGGGAGCTGTATAAAAAAATAGATAAAATAAAATTCAAAAAAAAATGCGTTTCCTCTCTCAGTTACCAACTTTATTCATAATCTCACTGGGGCTGGGACTCTGCCTCTTTCACGTGTTTTTCCACAGCCAAGTGTCATGTCAAACCCACTGTCAGCATTAAGTAAATGTGTGTGGAATGAGTTAAATAAAGGGGGAGCCCCTTTTCTGCACAGGATGTAAGTTTAGTTTTCAGAGTTGTCCCTCTATTTTATTTCCGATTCGTACTTCTTTATATCTTGGGAGTCTGGGCTACTTGATGAAATACTAGATTTTTAAATGATATATATCTTGCCTAGTCCAGAAAGGTGGGTTGAAATATTTAAGGGTATACAAATGTAATTTGAAAGATAATAAAAAAAAGGTTAACTGTAGGAAAACAGACGTGTTAAGCCCTGGGAAGGGTTAGACATTTGCCGTAAAATGGTAAAAATTTCATCTTTACACCTCATGGTCTCTCAGAGCGTGTGTTTAATTTCCTGACGGTGTTGACTTTATGTGATTAAGTGTGGATACTGTCAAAGTGAAGATCTACTTGCCCCTTCTAAACTCTCGATTTCCCCTCTTTGTCTAGTTAGCTCTGTGCTCTTGTCTGTCTCTGCTTCCTCTAATGAATGGTCTTCCCACCTGGAGATCTGACCTTGGCTGTGCCCGCCAGCTGGGGGCCAGGAATTCCAGTTCTGTGCGCCTGGTACAGCTTCCTCCTGAGCAATGCTCTTGCCCTGCCGCCTGCGAAAGAGGCTGAGATTGGCTTGAATTCTTCCAACGTTTAGTTTGATCTTTCTTTTCTCCTTGGCCCCTTTAAAAATCCTGCCTTTGTCTTTAAAGTTTAAAACAATTCACAAGTTGATTTGGTTCCTGGGGTTGGGGGGTTGTGGGAGGAGCTTTCTTTGGGAAATGCACCCACTTGACATACCCTCTGCGATGGTTTTTTCTTGCATGGTACTTTTGTTTCATGATTCTTTTTAAAAATATTTATTTATTTATGGCTGTGTTGGGTCTTCTTTGCTGCGCGCAGGCTTTCTCTAGTTGCAGTGAGTGGGGGCTCCTCTTCGTTGCGGTGTGCGGGCTTCTCGTTGCGGTGGCTTCTTATTGCGGAGCATGGGCTCTAGGCGTGCGGGCTTCAGTAGTTGCACTACAACGCAGGCTCAGTAGTTGTGGCTCTAGAGCTCAGCCTCAGTAGTTGTGGCGCGCGGGCTTATTTGCTCCGCGGCATGTGGTATCTTCCCGGACCAGGGCTTGAACTTGTGTCCCCTGCATTGGCAGGCAGATTCTTAACCACTGCGTCACCAGGGATTCTTTTTAAAATGTGTCTTATGTGTTGGGCTTCCTCTGCTTCTTCTGGCGACCGGCACATTCACAGAGAAATTTTATTGATCTATTTTCAAGCTTCGTAAGTTTCTCCTCATTTATCCTTTTAACAAAACTGCCCGGACACCTGCTGTAGTACTGGGTTCTGATGGAGAGCCGGCCCCTGGAGTGGAGAATCATGTAGGAGTCGGATCTAGCTCACCGTGCAGCTCCATACCTGGCTGTTGGAGGATGTGATTTATGGGGGAGTGTGCTGAGAGGCCAGAGCTGGTGTTCTGAGTTAAGAACAAGCAGATTACGACCCGCTGAGTGAGGGGACACAGCCACCCACTCGAAGGATGCGTGGAGCTCGCTCAGCATCGCGGCTCCCACCTGGGGAAGTGAAAAACCCCAGGGTTGTCTTGATTGAAGTTACAGTTTAAATACACCCACCCAAAGGAAGTCGGGTCACAAGATTTATTACTTGCAGATCCCAGAAGCAAGGGGACACTGTGACCCAGGGGAAGGGCAGTCCTCTGTCCCAGGTCACGAGCAAACAGCAGACAGAGCAGGGTAGCAAATACCTACTACTTACAAGGTGGTTAGGGCTGGGGTCACTAACTTTTCAAGGGCTGAACACTAAGTGGTTATTTTGAAAGTTGCCCCTGGAAAAGTGAAGTGGGAACTTCCGGCAGGCATCCTAAACTCACGTCCCTATCTAAATGTCCAGACTCTGGGTGTGAGCGGGGTGACCACACTGTAGAATGCCCAGACAGCAACTCTGTTGTCAGTTTCTTTTGACAGAAATCAAAAGGTGTTTTTTTTTTGTTTTTGATTTTTTGTCAGCAGCCTCTTTTCTTGTCACAGTGAGGCAGAGAGGAGGCCAGGCGTAGGGGAGCTGGGGAGGTGGCAAACATGAGCCGTGGAGTACGCCTCAAACTGATGCCACAAAGAGCCTGGAGAATGGACCCTGAGGCCCAGAGCTAGTGAGGGCGTCACTCAAATTCACTAGACCTAGACTAAATCAGACCTTAAAGACATGCACCTTCCATGTTGAGAGCTGGTCCTTCATGTGTTGAAACCAGATAATACAGAGGCTGGGGAAGTTGGACTTTTGGCTGAAGTGATGGGAAGGAAAGAAAGAGAAAGTCAATGCAAGATGAAGCTTCCCAGAGCCACAGAGCCTGCCTTCCCTCCTGGCCCCCAGGAGTGCTGGCCCCCAGACTCTGGCCGTGGACCGCGATGCCTGGCCAGGGCATGCGGCGGTGGTGACCTTGGGTGGAGAAGATCTGACCGGAACTTGCTGGAGTCGGTTAGCATCCGTGTTGGGCGGCTCCTGAATCTTACACTTTTATCAGCGCTTCCTTTTTGATCTGGGAGTAATTCTCTCCTGCTTTTCCTCTCTGTGGGTCAGGTTGTAGGTTGGCGTCCCAGAAAGCAGGCTCTGAAGGGGAGAACAGCTTGCAGGATGTTTGTTAAGAAGGCCCTGGGAGTCAGCACCTGGGCAGGGAGGGAGGCGCTGAGCTGGGATGCCAGCCGAGGGCAACCTGCAGCCTGGCCCACGGCTGGGAGTTCTGGTGCCTCAGAGTTATAGCCTTGCTCCACCCCCACCCCCAGGCATCAGGCACTGGAGAGGGGCTGCCCTGGGGGCCGTGACCTTGGGCAAGTGGCTGGCAGCTGCAGGAGTCCCCAAAGGAAAGGAACGGTCTGCCAGCCAGCGCCCCAGCAGCTGGGACAACAGTGAAGGCAAACGGGCTTCCCAGAGCCCGTCATAGGCCGGTCCCAGGGCCTGAAATCACCGGATCAAAGAGCCTCTGGTTGCAAAGAGCTCAGACTTCACAGGGCAGCAGGCAGACAGGGCAGGACACAGCCACGGTCATGTAATACAGTAATTGCTGTAATTGAAGTGGACTGAAAATGTCAGCATGGGTTTGTAAGTGTGCAGAAAGGGTTATTTACAATTACATGGGTTTTAAATTGGTTTTTAAAACAAAATATTTTGAAATTTGTTTTTCCTAAGTCTACACTCAACTACAATGCTTGTTCTATTTACAAATCTGGTAAATTAAGTCAAAATGAAATAATCACTTTCATGAGACTTTTGAATAATGTTCCATAAATTCAAGTTGAACACATTTCTCTCAGAAGAACCCAGTTTATACACTTAGCTAATTTACTAAATATTTTAAACTACATTCATATATTTAATATATCTTTTTCTCTTTAAGACCATCAAATGCCTAAGAGGGGAAACTTAGGACTAACAAGAAAAGGTTCTCAAGTGTTTCAATAACTGTAGTAAATTGATTAACTTACAAGTATCAGGCTAATAGTGACATTTTCACTAAACTTACTCAAATGATTTTAAAACTTCAATGTTAAAAATCACAGGCCTTTTAAATCAATTATTAGTTTTGTTTTCTTTAACAAATCCATTGCAAGGGAATTTTTTCAAAATATGAAGTGGTGAATTAAAAAACTGAAGAAAGAAGTAAACATTATGTGTGGACCTTATTTGCTTCTTGGTTTAAAAAAAATCTTAACAAAAAATTTTATGGCATTCATGAGACAGGAAAGTTGAACATTGACGAAATACTTGCTCTTATTAAGGAATCATTGTCACTTTCTATATACATAAGGTGCTATATGACATCTGGGATTTGTTCCCAGGGAAGCGGCTATGGAAGGGAAAGTTTGTCATGAGTTGGAAGTTGTTGGAGCTGGGGTTGGGTTCATGGGGGCTCACAGGACTATACCGTAAACACTTGTATTTGTTTGAAACTCTGCATAATAAGCAATTTTTAAAAAGTTAAATTAGGGGCTTCCCTGGTGGCGCAGTGGATGAGAATCCGCCTGCCAGTGCAAGGGTCCCAGGTTCGAGCCCTGGTCCGGGAAGATCCCACATGCCGCGGAGCAACTAGGCCCGTGCGCCATAACTACTGAGCCCCCGCTCTAGAGCCCGTGAGCCACAACTACTGAGCCCACGTGTGCCACAACTACTGAAGCCCGCACACCTAGAGCCCATGCTCCGCAACAAGAGAAGCCACCGCAATGAGAAGCCCGCGCACTGCAACGAAGAGTAGCCCCCGCTCGCTGCAACTAGAGAAAGCCCACGTGCAGCAACGAAGACCCAACGCAGCCAAAAATAAATTAATTAATTTAAAAAAATTAAATTGGAATTTTAACACCAATTTCCGAGATTCCTTAAGCGATCATATTTTCAATAAAAACCCATCAAATAACAAATTCACACATTATCCCTGTTTGTCAAACATATTCCTTAACTAATCCAAAAGCATGAGTGCCATGGATTTGCTTTGTGTTACCATCTCTTCTAAAACCACTCGGGGTTGAAAAGACATCCACTAGGCAGTGGGGCTCAACCCTGGGGATCAACATCGTTTTTAAGCCCCCCCGGGGAGTTCTAAGGGTAGGAGTCTCCTGCAGAAATTGTGAGCACTTGGGTTGCTGGGCCCTGCCCGGGAGGTTCTGAACCATGGGTCTGGGTTGGGGCCTGAGAATCTGCATTTCTCACAAGTTTGGGTGATTCTGGTGCTGCTGGCTCAGGGGCCTGCATTTAAGGATCACTGTTGCAAGGCAAGCAGATTTACTACCTAAAGAGAGTGGAAGTTACTAGGTCAATAACTGAGGTCCATTACACTGGAACTATCTCACGTAGACTGCACTTGCTTCCTGAGTGGAGAAGGAGACTGAGGCAGTATGCAACCGACCATATGGACATGTTTGGTCCTTGTTACAACTGCTATGACAATGAGGGAGGGGTGTCCTTTTTTAGTTGGGTTTCTACAATCCTTGTTCCCGTGCTCAAATCACACCCTTAACTAATTATACCTTCTGGGAAGAGTCGAGGGAAAGGGCAGATACCTTCCTTTACCCACCCAGCTTCCTTCCCTGCCTGCCTGGACTTTCCATATTTTTCTCTCTCTTAAGACATTTTAGTGTCTTCTGCTCTAGCTTGGAAGACACACAGTGCAAGTCTGTAGGGTCCTGAATTTCCTCACATTTTGTCTGACGTTGTGGCCAAAGCTCTTACATTCTATTAGTCGTATAGCTGGAGCATCTCACAGTCTGACTGGGGAATCAGGAAAGGCTTCACAGAGGAGGTGATTTCGTGCTGAGCCTCAAAGGGTGAATAGGAGTACGGCAGGTGGACAGGGAAGACAGTCTGGTGCTTTCATGATTTCTGGAATGTCAAATGGGGTGTATTGGGGGTTATAGGGGGAGGGAGGAATGTGAAAGGCTGAACAGTCAGGGGTCACGTCTTTGGAGGGGAAAAGCTAGATTTATCTTGGAGATGTTGAGGGAACTGCTGAAGAATTTTGAGCAGAAGAGTGACCCTATGAAATTTGCATGTTAGAAAGATTAACTTGGCAGCTCCATAGAGGATGGCCTGGGGATCAGACCCAGAAGCAGAAGATTTTACAAGTAGGGAGACTATTTGTGTAACAGCAATGCATGAGTACCAGTTTGGGGTGGTCTCAGGGTGGGAAGAGATGATATTATTGACAATAATAAGAGGTAGATATGTTTGCGTGCTGTGTATGTTTGTATGTATTTGTAATCTGCCTTGTCTTGAAAGGATTTAAGGTAGCTTAGATGAATGCATTAACAAAATCAAAAATAAATGTAGAAGAAAGCAGGACAAATAGGAAAACAAAATAGGAAAGATAAAATGAGGTCATGAAGGAAGTTCACTTTGGGGCATTTGGGTCCTTATGTTTGCCTGGGGTGAGACACGATTAGGCTGATTTTCTAAAATCAGTGGAAAGGGAGGCTCAGTCCATCACTTGATTCACAGAGCCCATCATATAAAAGCGCCCCAGCTGCCTGGGAGGAACACAGGGAGTGTTGGTTCTGAAAATAGAGAAATGTCTCCTAGGGAGCCTCAGAAAGAGGGGAAGGGTGATACGCCAAACAAAACCCTCAGCATCACTGAGCGAGGGGATCTTGTTTCTCCAAGAGGTGTTTCCTCCAGGTGAAGATTCAAGAATTCAGACTGAAAGATGGGTCTCTGTCACTGTCCTTCCTCTCAGTGAAGGGCCTGGTGAGGAGCTACCAGGCCAGGTTATCTGATCATCAAATATCTGTCTTGTCAAGAAAGGCGGGGTGGGGGGGGTGCCTTCCTGGAAACAAAACAAAACAAACTACAATAAACAGCAGGGAGGCTCTGGAGGATGACAGACCATAGCCAAGCAGACATGGAGGATGGTGGGCCTCCCCAGGCGCAAAGCTAAGAGTGTTGGATGAAGGACTCAGGGCGCCTCGTGATCTGGGGGAATGAGAGATCCGTTAGCAGGTTGACCAATGGCTTGGTTCAACTGGTTGGATGGTTCTGCAAAAGGTGATGAAGCAGGAGAAGTAGCTTTGGGGGTTGGGGGATGGGGAGGAAATTGTGAGTCCACTTTGGGGCCGTGTTAACTGCGATGTGCCTGGAAATACCCAGGTGGCCACGTAACCTGTTTTTTTGTGGTTTGTGGTTTAGTTTTGGTTTTCATGTGCTGTTGGTGGCATCCACCATATCCTCTTGGCCTTCCCACTAAGTCACCTGCAACTCTTGGCGTGGCCACGCATGGCTTCCTGCATCTCTCTGCCCTGGAGCGCTTCCCCCATCGCTGGAGCAGGCAGGTGGGAAGTGTTAGGACGTACTGTCCCAGGAGTGACCCTCAACCAAGAATGCACCTCTTGCCCCTCCAAGTGGACAATTCTTAGGCGTATTCCTCATGGTGTCTCTGAGGGTCCCCAGCAGGATTGAGTGCCAGTTGCCCACAGGGGTGAGTCCCTCATCCGTGAGCTCTTTCCTGGCTTTCTCCCTTCCCTGCCTCACTGCCCCACTCCTTGTGGATCTTCCTGGGATCGCTTTCCAATAAGCCACTTGCCCTCAAATCCTTATCTGAGGGCTCCCCATCGGGTCAGCTTTTTACGGGGTACCCATGCACACGAGTCAGCTCCTGAGCAGCAGAGCCTGAGGTGGGGATTCTTGTTCGTGACTTACTGGGGCAGTGCTCTCAGGAGGAGAGGAATGGGGGAAGTGGGAGAGGACAGGAGATAGAAAGCTAAGTAAGGCGGTGTTCTCAGGTAGTGACTCGTATCAGCCTGATCCCAGCAGGAGCTCTGGAGCTTAAACTGCACCACAGAGTTGGTCCCACCTTGAGGCCAGGAGGTCAGCCTTTTGTGTCTCCTGCGCAGTTGGACATCAGCTGAGGTCTGGGGAGGGGATGGGGACACTGCCTCCTCCGGCCAAGGCCCTTCCTCTTAGTCATCCTTCCAGGTCACCCTCCCAGTGGAGGCTCCCTTTGGCCTTGAGCAATTCTCCTGAACTGGAGCCGATTCTCCGTTCAGTAGACAATTCAATTCTCCTGATTTGACAGACACCTGCAGCCTCTGGCGGATAGAGGGACACCAGCATCTCGCCCTCTACAGGCCTTCTAGAGTATTACATGCTTGGTACATTTCATGTTCTGTGGTCGCTTCTGTCTGTGGACTCTGCCTGGAAGCAGTGTGAGGAGAAGGAGCTAGATAAAGCCTGATCCCTGCTCTCAGGAGCTTGCAGTCTAGGGAGGGAACCAGGAAAAAACAGTTCTCAAGCAAACGACATTTACATGGCATAAAAACAAACAGCTGTTTTTTTAATGAGCGTAACTGGGAGGTAGAGAATTTCCAGGTGGGGAAAAACCACCCTGTGAGGGTTGGTAAGGAAGCAGTATTCCAGCTGGTACTTAAATGTCATCTCAAAGGACCTTACTGACACTAAAATATCAATTAGGTTCTGTGGGGCTCAGACTGCTGTTAGAGTTTCCGTCACCAGGTATGAGCGTCATCCTCCCCCATCCTGCACACATACCACATCCTTGCTCCTAATGTAGGAATATTAGGCATTTGTCTGCGTTAGGGGAGCACAGGTTCCGGACGCGCAGGCTCAGCGGCCATGGCTCACGGGCCCAGCCGCTCCGCGGCATGTGGGATCTTCCCAGACCAGGGCACGAGCCCGCGTCCCCTGCATCGGCAGGCGGACTCTCAACCACTGCGCCACCAGGGAAGCCCTGCGTTAGTGTTTTTGTTTTGTATTAACTTGCTCTAATTTAATTTTTTCTCTTTAAAATATTGGGCTGTTCTTCTCATGTGCATTTGAGATGGCTGTGTGTGTCCTCTCCTTGGCCATCCTACCCCAGGGTCCCCTTCATAGCTGGCCTTGCTCAGCTCTCTCTCTGTACCTAAATACACATCTGCCGTGTCCTCCATGCCTTCACAGCACGGGCTAAGAATCACACCCCGGGAGGTGAGGTGGGAGCTGGGTTGTCAGTCAGCTGGGACCAGGCCCCCATCCCTCTGTTAAGAGAGGGAAATCAATGAGTAGCTTCCCGCACGCCTGCCCTCACCCACCCTCTCCCTACCTCTGCCCCGTGTGGTCTGAAATGGCCACTCCCCTACTGCCCCAAGCAACAAAGTAATAGGTTTTCCCCAACAGTGTTCAGTTCGAATTTCCTGTCTGGCTGTGAGCCACCCTGAACCAGTCCTTAATAAGGTCCACGTTTTCCATCCTGCTTAAAGACTGTGTCACAGGGGCTGCTGGCAGTCTGGGAATCTATCAGAAGAAGTAGCATCCGGCTTTAGCGGTCTCTGCTGAACCTGGGTCCTGAACCTCCCCAACTGCAGAGCCTTTGACAAGAGGGTGAACATTCTAGGAGCTGGGGAATAGGGTTGGGCTGGGAGTTCCAGGAGGGCACCGGGGTTCTTAAGGAAGAACACAGATTCAATCTCGAAGCTCCTCTCTGTTTATTTAATCTATCAAGGTTTCAATCAGCCAGCCCTAACGTGACGAGCTCCACAGACCAGAGAAAATCGTATTTCCTCTCGAGTGAATCATTCATTTCACGCAGCCCAGCTGCTACCTCAGAGCCTTCCCCAAAGGCATGGACAGTAGTGAAGCACCCTTTCCTCTCCTGTGGATGGGTTTTCCACCACTGTAAAGTGCCTAGTGACGGGCTAGGAACTTTGGGAGGAAGAAAGTTCTGAATCCACAGGCTTTGTCTTCAGAGGATCTGACACGATGGGAGGGTGACAGGTTTGGGGGGAGCTGGTTCCTCTCTCCTTAAGAAGCATTAGAAGGGAATTCCCTGGTGGTCTGGTGGTTAGGACTCTGCGCTCTCACTGCGGAGGGCCCGGGTTTGATCCCTGGTCTGGGAACTGAGGTCTCACAGTCTGTGCGGCCAAGATTTAAAAAAACAAAAGGAAGCATTAGAAGAAGGGGAGATGGCTCCCCCAGTCCTATTCTCTGTGTGGTTGTCCCTATGATCTCCCCAAAAGACAGGAGCAAAGATGGAAGGAAGGGATCTAGAATGTTCCACAGACCTAGCACAGTATAATATGCATTTTATATGTCAGGTCATTTCATCTTCTCTATGATTATTCTCATTTTTCCCGCATGGAAACTGAAGTTGCCCTG